CCGACGCCCGACGCCCGACGCCCGACGCCCGACGCCCGACGCCCGACGCCCGACGCCCGACGCCCGACGCCCGACGCCCGACGCCCGACAAAGACGCCCGACGCCCGACGCCCGACGCACGACGCGCGACGCACGTCGCAAGACGCACGACCCACGACGCGCGACGCGCGACGCACGACGACGACGCCCGACGACGACGACGACACCCGACGACGACCACGACGACGACGACACCCGACGACGACCACGACGACGACGACGATGACGACGACGACGAACGACGCACGACGCACGACGCACGACCCACGACGCACGACGCACGACGCACGACGGACGACGCACGACGGACGACGCACGACGGACGACGCACGACGGACGACGCACGACGGACGACGCACGACGGACGACGCACGACGGACGACGCACGACGACGACGACGACGACGACGACGACGACGACGACGACGACGACGACGACGACGACGCACGACGACGACGACTGGTAATGCCAGGTAATGCGCTTTGTAATGCCATAAAACAAAGCACGCTCGTAATATCCTGGTAATGCCAGGTGATGCGCTCATCTTGGAAGTGAAGTAAAAGTCCTGTTTAATATTTTAGCTTTGTAATGCCACAAAACAAAGCACGATTGAAAACAATGAAAGCATGCAATGAAAGCATGCAGCAACATGGCAAATGATCAACACCTGAACTCAACGGTTCAAGCGGTCAACAATGCTTCGACATTTTCGGCCACCCAGCACCCTAAATTTTCCGGAAATTTAGGGAGCTGAGCCGTGGCTTCTGAACATGATCAGGCTGCATCCGTTTCCTAAATTTCCTGAAAATTTTGGGTGTGTAAATTTTCGGAAAATTTAGGAAAGCGATGAAGCAAATTTTCCGGAAATTTAGGGACCGAGGCTTCGGGCTACCCGGAACCAGAAATTTTCCAGAAATTTAGGGGAGCGAATCCGGCTTGCGGCCGTCGAAGAGGCCCAGCCTTTCAAAGGGCACAGCCCAAGCCCCAAAATTTCCCGGAAATTTTGGGTCCCGGGTAGGCCAAAGTGGCTTGCTCGCCGGGGTCCAGAAATTTCCGGAAAATTTTGGGGCTGGGGCACTCCGAGGCGTGACGCACCGCATAGGGCTGGTTTGACCGTAGCGTTTTATAGAGTAGATTTATATAGAAAGATCTATATATATATATATAGAGTATATATATATATATATCAGAAATGTCGAATATGTCATGAATGATAGAATCCGAAAGATTGAAAAAAGATCTAAACCGATAATGAAAATCCTTGAATTTATTAGAATATATAAAATTCATTGTGTTAATGATATGTCCCAGAGCAATATCTGACCTATCGATATTTCTGAAAGCCTGACCCATACTTAGATGAGGATGTTTCTATTCATTCATTGCAAGTTGCGTCCTTCTTTTTCCAAGCCCTTCGCAAGGTCAGAGAAGTACTGCTGCAATCGTCACTTACATGATGGAGCACTTCTTCTCTTTGGCTATGTCGTCCGCGTTGGCCTTGGTGAGGTGTACACCCATAAGTTTCAGCAGGAATTCGAAGGTAGTAGGCAGGCTCGCCCTGCCTCAGGATGCGCGGGATCGTTTCCTCGGTGCTCCAGCAAAGGAACCCTTGCAGGATTCTCCAAGAATTGCTGCGAGGCGCTGGGATGGTTTACCAGCTCGGCCTTGGTTGGCTTTTGCGCAACCTGCAGACATGTGCAGCACACTTGCACAATGAACCCCCAAGCCTAGTGCCTCAAGCCTAAATCCCAGCTACCGCCTCCAGCTCGGGCTTCGTCAAGGTGACACCTTTCAGCTTTGCATCTCTTGCTGCAACCCCTCGCTTGTCATTTTCAATCATCATCCTGCCTGCAAGATCTGCGGCGATGCGGAAAAACGATGCATGAACCTGAGTCACTAAGAAACCCTTGGGATTACCAGTGAATGTTGAAGTCCGGGCCTGATCTCCTGTCCTTGCGGACACGAAATAGCTGTACAAGTCATTCTCTTCCGCAAACTGGCCAGGTGGGAGGCTTCCGTTCGCTGAGGACATGTAGACACACGCTAAGCACATGCACCCACCTGATTGTGCTTGTCTACTTTGACAGCTCGGATGTGCGCCAGGTCGTGCTTGTTCGCCATTAACGCAATATACCTCTTCCAAAAAACATATTGAGTGCAGATGTGCGATCGGGTCTGGCTCACGGGAGCGGTGTCTTGTCGAAGGTGCGCTTAACCAGGAACAGCCAGTCCTGCTACCACAAGCCTTGCAAAAAGGATCTGACCGTCCCACTGTTATCCTCTACTCTCCTCCAAATGTTGGAAGCTCTGGTAGTTCGTAATGTCATAGCACAGCACGACCTGACCAACTGCCGTTCTTGCTCAGCGGCTATTCATTGATTTGCTATACTTTAGGAGCCCGGCAGCACTGGAGCCATAAATGTAGTTGCTCAACATTTTGCCGCCAATGGATTGGCCACCGATGTCCCAAATCTGCAGACATACCTACGACTCACCCACGGATTTCAATTTGAATGCCAGCAGGCCGGATGGCTACTGCAAGCATGCATACGCCGATACACAGGCGGGGGTCACATGAATGTCGCCTGGCAGAACCACTCGCTTCACAAAGAAGTCCAAACCTGAGCTCACAAGTTCACCTTCCCAAAAGAAACTCCTGACTACTGTGGATAGCTCGAACGCTGTCCTTGGGCAAAAAGTTAAATCCAGCATCTGCTGTCGAACCACATGTGTGGAACATGGACTCGAATGTCTCAAAGCAGTTCGGAGAGCTATACGGCATAATGTGTCTGTTTTTTGGTTTTTGGGTATGTTTTTGGGTTTGGGGTTTAGGGTTTAGGGGTTAGGGATTAAGGTTTAGGGTTTAAGGTTTAGGGCTTTACGGTTTAGGGTTTAGGGTTTTAGGGTTTTAAGGTTTTAGGGTTTTGGGGTTTGGGGTTTTAGGGCTTTAGGGTTTTAGGGTTTTAGGGTTTTAGGGCTCTAGGTTTTAGTGTTTTAGGGTTTTGGGGTTTTGGGGTTTTAGGGTTTAGGGTTTTAGGGTTTTAGGGTTTAGGGTTTTGGGGTTTGGGGTTTGGGGTTTGGGGTTTGGGGTTTGGGGTTCAGGGTTTAGGGTTTAGGGTTTAGGGTTTAGGGTTTAGGGTTTAGGGTTTAGGGTTTAGGGTTTAGGGTTTAAGGTTTAGGGTTTAGGGTTTAGGGTTTACGGGTTAGGGTTTAGGGTTAGGGTTTGGGTTAGGGTTTAGGGTTTAGGTTTAGGTTTAGGGTTTAGGGGTGTAGGGTTTAGGGTTTAGGGTTTAGGGTTTAGGGTTTTAGGGTTTGGGTTTAGGGTTTAGGGTTTAGGGTTTAGGGTTTAGGGTTTTAGGGTTTAGGGTTTAGGGTTTCCAGGGTCAGGGTTCAGGGTTCCAGGGTTCAGGGTTCAGGGTCAGGGTTGCAGGGTTCAGGGTTTTAGGGTCAGGGTTTAGGGTTTAGGGGTTTAGGGTTTAGGGTTTACGGGTTTAGGGTTTACGGGTTTCGGGTTTACGGGTTTCGGGTTTACGGGTTTAGGGTTTACGGGTTTAGGGTTTAGGGTTTAGGGTTTAGGGTTTAGGGTTTAGGGTTTAGGGTTTAGGGTTTAGGGTTTAGGGTTTAGGGTTTAGGGTTTAGGGTTTAGGGTTTAGGGTTTAGGGTTTAGAAAACCAAAAACATACCCCAAAAAAACCAAACAAACACCCAAAAAAAATAACAAAAAAACACCCAAAAAGACCCCCACCCACAATCCCGTGGGTCACATTGAGACCTGCACTATTGAATGGCGCTTGGGAGATCTAGTCAAGCCTCAGTATACATCAGTTTACTGGTTTACTAGAGGCCATGAATGGAACCAGATCGCAGTCACTTTCTTCAGAACAGGTATTTTTGCGTGCCGCGGCGATGAAGCAAAGCGGTGCGTCCTACACACTGAAGTACTTGCAATCATGCTTTCTTGTCAGGAACCTCCAGCGAAAACGGGACAACGATTGGGTTGCGGCGAGATCCTTGCAATTGCCTCTTTCTGCTAGACACAGCAGTCCCAAAGAAAGACATTGAGTAGACCAACTTAAAAGAAGCAGTTCAGCAGTCATCCCAAAAACATGACACAGTGGAAGGCTTGGAACACATGAGGGGTCCCCATGCCGGCCTTTCAAAGGCGCCCACGGTTTGGGGATCTTAGAGTGTAGAGTGCGATTCGGGCTGCGTCTTGTCGACGCGTCTGTGAGTCCCATCTTAGACGGCCCAAAAGCAACGAGCCCCCAAAACACTCTCCCCCCCATAACGCAGCAGAGACTTTTCAGCAGCGGTGTACGAGCTGCAGAGAGAGGCTACACAGGCCCGCATAATCCCGCAGCCCAAGCCGATCCCCACTTGCTTTCTCCTCTACTTGCTTTCTCCTCTACTACGTTTGTCAATCAAGCCCAGGACGGATCTGCTCAGACCTCCTCTCGGGATAAGCCCAGAAGGAACAGTAACTTCCCCCGAATCCCCCGCCCATCTCGGCCAGCTGTCTTTGATGTCACAAGATGCAGACCCGACTAGGTGCCCCACCTATTGTTTGCTTGTACTGCTTGGCAAAGTGGTCCTGCAAGCAACGGAAATTGCAAAATGCTACAAAAACATGGCAAGCTTGAAGCAGTTCTGTGAATGTGTTCCGCACAACTTGCGCAACGTGATGCAAGGTCAAGCTCAAAACATAGTCTGAACACAGGTAGCTCTCGCGCATTTGCAAGAACATGCACGAGCTGCAAGGCTCAAGGGCAATCGCTGTTGCAAACTGTTGCACAGCACCTCGCAGAATCGTGTTGCCATCGAAGTCTTTCCAACAGCACCATCACCAAGAAGGATTACCTGAGCACTGACTGCAAGTGATTCTCCTCTACCGGCTCCAGACGGGAAGTGCCTTGAACTGCAAGTACTCCGGCTCATCCTCATCGTCATCCTCACCTAGCCTGAATAAGATCCCGGAAAAAGAGCTCTTGTCTCTTGCACATGAACGAACTAAGAGGAGGACTGCGTTCGCAGCTCGGCCATCACAGACCTTCCGGCGCTTGCCAAGGAAAGAAATCAACTGCCTTGACCCACGTGACAGTGCCTTGGGAGTCAAGAAATCTGCGCGCGCAAGCGCTCAAGCAGCTTGTCACGGGCGATGTGCTTGCCCTGTTGTGCTCAGCAAGTACAACTCTAACACAGCTTCCCCAGAATCCAGTGAATTTGAAAAGACGGTAAGTCTCCAGCGGACCATCGAACCTGTCAACCAGTGCCTCCAGATTCAGCATCAGCCAACACTATGCCAACACTGCAGCAGATTCTTGCCATTTCTTGCCATAAACTCTGGGAAGCGGGCTCTGAGACACCATGCAGTGACGGCACATGCTGCAGCCCCGTGTCGCGAACACATGCAACATGCCACCAAGGGCCGCTCAGTTTCAGTGCAATCAAGATCACTCCAAAGCACATCTCAAGCACCGCAAGATGCCCTGCACCTGTTTCCACTATGCCATGGCCAGGAGCCACGTCCATTCGGTAAGTCGTTCCGCGCTCTCAGACTCTAACGTGCGAATCTGCAACCAAGCATTTCAGATGACGGAGAAGCCGCCACGTCCATGCTTAGCACAAATTGCAACTTCCACAGACTGGCCCAAATCCTCCCGAAAGGTTAGAGATCTAGCGCGGACATGTATGGTTGTGTAGCATGTCAACCAGCTCTCGTCTGTGCCAGTGGGACGTCCATCACCCAGCTTTCTGACTTGATGGCAGCCTCCACCTACCCTTCTAGCTTCACCCCACAGTGAAAGACCGAAAGCAACGTTTTAGGTTTCTATATTTTCCTACAAGGTTGTGGGGAGTCCTGGCCGCGAAGTGCCTTTGTTGGCATCGCACAGCATGCTGATCACTGAATCGTCGGCTCTTGATCGGGTACATCCGGGTCTCTGCAAAAGCACACGAGCTTACACACCAGCTTACGCAAAAGCTTGCACAATTTTTTTGGAAACCCAGAATCAGCAGCTGCGGCGGACCCAGGTTCACGGTGAGATGTGAAATGCAAAACGAATCTGGTAGTAACCAGATGCAGGCTGAAAATGCCCTGGACGGCAGATGTCCTGTTCAAACTCGGCTTGGAGGGACTTCCATGATATTCCATGATCTTGCGTCCAGAGCTAAGCAAGCCCACCACGCTGGCAGCATGCTCGCCCGTTCCAAGCGGCTCCAGATGGCTTTTGCTTCGGGAGACTGGCCAAGGCTAGTAGACTTGCCAGTTCGAGGAAATCCGCGGTCTTTGGCACGCAGTGAAATTCTAGATTTGAGCAGGATGTCTAGTCCAGCCAGAAGTCCAGGAAACTCATCCTGAAAGCAGCTTGCAATGCCCATGCATGGCTTATGCATGTTCACTGTGAATTTAAGCTACTTGCCGAAACATGTCAGAACACCAAAAGCCTGAGACTCGGGCCCAGGAATTTCACAGCGTAAGACAGCATGAAGGCAATCTGCCACAAAAGCATAGCTCTTCTCAATCCATAGCAGCACAAGCCCCTGAAAACGGCGCACCAAAGCCACCAGAACAATGTGGAACGCATTGTAGCCACCACCTGAAAAGCGCAAAATGTCAAGCTCACAGCTGTCATAGTGATTTGGTGAACTAGGACTCCGACTCTCACCGGAGGATAAACTCTTTGAGCACTTCAGATCTTCTATCTCGGCCTTGCATGTCACAAGGCTACACTCGCCGCCCAGCATGACAAACTTAGGGACAGGACAGGACGCACAATACATGAAAAGTGAGAAGTTTGAGAAGAGCTCCACACGAATACACAAGCTGCGGCACCGAAAAACCGTCACCTCCAGCTTCTTCTTCTGCTTTTCTAGCATGAGAGTGTACCTTAGGTAGTTGGGCTTTGGACGAATAGGTAGCTTGGTGTCGCAATCAGACTCATCAGACTGACATGACTGGGCGGTCGGCTGCACCAGCTCATCATACTTTACTTGCAAATCAACTGGAGCCTGACGACAACAAGCCCGCAGATCCTGAAGCATATGACTATCGCACGACTGACGTGCTCAGTTCTTGAAGATCTGAAACGTCTTTAAACAGCCTCACCGCTGGCCGTTCTGGAGGAATCCACGGCGCTAGACCTTGTTTCTTCGCTACATGACGCTCACAACACAAGTCATCACTCAGTGTAACAATGTATAACACTGCTCGTGCGGAATTGAAGCTGAGAGAACTGCCCGAACCCATAGCTATCTTGATGGGTCGCTGCTGGTTCTGTTTCGCACTCCTGGCAGTTGGACCACGATGGCTTCTAGAGAGCAGCGACAAACTATGCAAAGTGGTGAATGAAACGCACGTGCACCTCCAGGACAACGTTCAGGCGTTGTTCCTCAATCTGCTCCTTCTTGAACTCACTCCACTGCTCCCGACCTTGCAGAGTGAGCTACTGGCATCGGCAATACACCATGCCCTTGTTACTCTGCTCGCCAGATTAGGCTCGTGCTCACTTGCTGTGACGAACTCACTGCAACTGCCTGTGTGCATCTCAGCTGTCAAGACGTGACAGCAAGTGAGGCAGCAACGCCCTAGGTACAACAAGATGGCCACAACTACTCGCTCTTTTCACGTCTCTGGCAGTATTTCGACACGACCCCGGCGGCGTGCACTTCACTCTGTAACTGCAGTTGATGAGCACGCAAACATGAAATCCAATCGCTGCTGCCTGCTTGCACACTTTTTGGAGGCTTCGACACCCAGAGCACCCAGCCTGGACCAGAAAGCGATGGTTCTGGCCCTCGCCTGGCGGCCTTGCGACAGCAAACCACAGCAGAACGTCTGTTGAGACAGGGTCTTCTCAGTTTCTCATTCAAGCGCGGGGCTGGAGGATTATGGTTACCTCCTCGCTGCCGTGAGGACTGGCAAGTTTGCAAAAGTCTTGGCGGAAGGTGTGGGCACTGTTCTCGTGACGCAAAGAACTCGTGAAAGTCCCGAACCTGAGGGTTGCTGCACTAGGCCGAACCAGGTAAGACTTGGGAGCTGTCGTCTTCACCTGGGCCCACATGACATCTTTTCCGGCAAGACTTCAGCAAGACGGGAAAGCCTTGAAAGCGACAGGACCACTGGTCTTGTTGGTAAGCCTCAGCTTCCTGAGTGCGAATGCACAGCAAAGACACAGCAAGCACAAGCAAACACAATGACGGTTATGAAAACTCGTGGTAATGGGTGCGATGCCTATTCGGCGACGGTGTTGTCGGCGTTTTGCCTTGCTGGCCGCAGCAAGCACACAGAAGTTTCAGGAAGTGCCCAGATCCTTGTCCAATCTGCAGAGAGTTGCCCGAAAGCTGGGCAGCCACGCAGAAGTGCAGTGTAGTCGAAGGATCCAGCTCTAGGAGGGTCATTGGCATCCTGCCTTCGCGCATCTTCGCGCACAGAGGACATGGTGTATCTGGGCATGTCAAGAAAGCAAGAACATCAAGAAACGTCAAGACAACGGGCAACCTCGGACTCAGATATGTAAAGGAAGATTCTTCAGCGAAGCAAAGCAGAAAGCAGATGGCAAGCTCCGCCACCTGGCCTCCACCCCCACACCAAGGACCTGAACTTAGAAGGAAGGCACAAACCAGACGGTAATGCCTTCAGTTTGTGCCCACTTTCTGTCAGAAGTTACTAAGCTCTTGGAAAAGTGCGGATCTCAGCCCAGAGCTTACCGGCCTTCGGCACAACTTTGCAGCTAGGTTGCACAGGATGTATGGGCCAGAAGCATGCGGCGCAGGACTAGAAACGTTTGCCTCTGATTAGCACGGCAAAGTTACAAAAAAACAACATGACATCATGACATCTCATCAGGCGAAACTTCAGAGTCAGCAGAGCTTCACACACGGAAGCATTTTACAGCATTGTGCAGCCACGTGAATCTTGCAGTCTTTGGCAAGTGCTTCGAGACTGGTTCAAGAGTCTGCGGCAAACAGCCTGCTCTTTGGCATCAACTGTGGCTCTTCAAGAAGCCTAACGAGACATATCCATTCGACGGTTCAGCTCTCGATATAGCCTGCGCCGACAACTCATGCACCATGCAAGCACGAACAAGCCTTTGCTCGTCTGGAGCTTGAGTCTCGGGATCTCCCATGCCATGGCTCTGAAGTAAAATGAAGTAAGTAAGCATGCTTCCTTTTGCACTTGCAGTAGTTGCCTGCTGGATTCGCATAAACCTGGGTGCCTTGGCTTGCCGAGTACGGATGGTCCCATGTTCTGCTATATTCGTTTGTATGTTTACACACATATATATATATACATAAGAAGAGAGCGAGCGAGAGAGAGAGAGAGAGAGAGGCAGGAAGACAGAGTGACAGAGAAAGATAAAACTAAAGCGAGAACGGGAAACAGAAAACGTTTGGCTGCCGCCGGTACTGATGACCACCTTCCGCAAGCGCAACATGTCCCAAAGCGGTTTAGAGCTTTAAGGCCTGCGTTGTTCGTTGATTGAGAGAGAGAGAGAGAGACAGAGAGAGACAGAGAGAGACAGAGAGAGACAGAGAGAGACAGAGAGAGACAGAGAGAGACAGAGAGAGACAGAGAGAGACAGAGAGAGACAGAGAGAGACAGAGAGAGAGAGAGACACAGAGAGAAAAGAAGAGAGAGAGAGCGAGAGCGCGAGGGCGAGCGAGAGCGCGAGGGCGAGCGAGAGCGAGAGAGAGACAGAGAGACACAAAAAAAAAAAACAGAGAGAAAGAGAGATCGAGAAAGAAAAAACACCAGGACAAAAACATATGCCTTATGTTTTGTACACAAAAAATGTAGAAACTGTAAATTAATTGCATGTACCTAGATTGGAAGGTCAAATAGTTATGCACTTTGTCACCGAACCGGCACCTCTCAACAAATTGCTCATGCGTTGTGCACTCGGAAAGTGCCTGTCAAGCTCTTCCTCAGCAGCCGCCGTTTCATCCATGCCTGATTGCTCTGTGCCATCCAACACCTCGTCAGCATGCAATGTTCGAGCAATTGGTCTCCACATTGTGCATGTGTCTTTCTGCCACCGCCAGGCCTTCAACACGGGACAACCTCCGCATGTGGGACTTCAATCAGGCACTACATCTCACTGTATACCACCACATCTGCAAAACGCAGTCGAGATGCCGTTAACGCGCATCGGCAGAAAGCGACCATCAACCACCTGAGAGCAGAGACGAACACACATGATTTCGAGATTCAGGGGCCCCATGTACGTGAACCGGCAGCTGACAGGCTGCATGACCATCATGACCATCTGTGACCATCTGTGACCATCTCAAAGCAATATTGGGCCACAAGGGGCCAAGGGACCTTGAGCCAGCCGTCGCCTTGGTCCTCACCCGTGACCAGGGAGTTCCACGGCCTTCAAAAGCCACATCACAGATCTGAGCAGTGCCTCTGCAGGTGTGGCCCTGAGACCCTGGACAGCTGAGCCCGCAAACGCACCACCGAGCTCTCCAGGTCGAACATCCTGCCGGATCACCGCAATAGGTACATATATCGGCCACATTCGGCCACGAAAGCTAAAGTTCTCGTGCGAGTGCAGGACTATTGTGACATGTCAGGGCAATGGGGCCTTGTAACCCTTGACCCTTGTAACATCAAGAGGGCCCCTAGGAAAGGAAGCAGGTGGAGGGGGGAAGGGATCCTCCCCCTTTGAACCACCCATGAGGCCCAGGTTTACGTTTACCGTTTTGACCCATGAAGAGATCCATTTAAACTACCGCAAGCTCCAAGGAACTAGCTTTTGAGATCCAAACTTCCACGGAAGCGGCATCCTTGTCATTCAGATCTTTGCTGAACCGGTAGCCAAGTCCGCCGTAGGAGGCTTGCAGCCTGAAGCATGACATGAACACGTCCCGATACCACAGTGTGGCATTGTGCAGCATTGCCTCCTGCACAAACCGGAAGCTGGGATACCTGCCAGGTGTTGTCGACCAGGAATGTCTTTGTCACCTCAGGATCCGCAACATTCCGCAATGTAAAAGCACCATGTCAAGCACCATGTCAAGACCAGCTCCAGAACAAGGCCCCGAGGATGCCGGAGGCCCCGACAACCGGCAACGCCCATCGGAACCCATCACTTGTGTCGAGAAGTGGGATCCATCCTGCCCACGACGCCCTCCACACCCATCCAGACAACACTGCAACTACTTGTAGCAACAGAATTTGATAGGACCTCATTTAACGTAAGGCATGTTCACAAGTCGCCTAGTTTTGTTGCGCAAGCCTGGCAGCATCGATTCGATACTCCGTGCATTCAAAGACCCCAGTTTCAAAATGATAAACTGCAAAAAAGTTGACGCTAGATGTCAGTGCGCACAACGACATGGTGAACCCCTGTTCCTGCTCCGCCTTCTGTTTGTATTTTACGTCGGGGTTCCCGGTAGTCATGTTCCTTCGTCCTCACTGGTCGACGTCCTCCCAGTACAAGGTTTAATCTTGTTTTGCTGAAGGTCCCGCAAGGGAAAACCCATCATAGTTGCCTGCCTCCGCATTTACCAATTGTGAGCAAAGGAGGGTGTTCTTGGCCACCTGGGTTGTCAACTTGTTAGCGGAAGTTGTATACTCTGTATGCTTCCCGATTGACATCCCGGCTTCAGCCGACAACTTGAGCGTGCCAGCAATACGCAAGCGATCAAGGACGAAGCAACTGCATGAACTGCACACTTCTCAATCCAAGTCCTTGTGGCTCGTGGATAAGCCCACGTACTCTCTGCTCAGATGGGCAAGGCAGCACCTGTGGAGTTTTGCATCACATTGAAAACAGTCAGGATTCTGAGACCCCCTAGGCTGCACAGCGTAGAAGGCGTACCTGTTGAACAGAAACCTGCTGGCCAGCCGCAAGGTGGCCCACAGTGTCACGGTCACTGCAACCTGTGGAGTTTTTGTAAACCGCCGTCCCAGCCATCACCTGGAGGCCGCATGTCTAAGCGACAACATCTCACAGGCACCCAAATCACAAGCGCAAGCCTTGTATGGGCCTGGCCGCAAGTCCTGCATCTTTGTGCTTGACGACAACATCTGGGCTACAAAGCTATACCGAACCTGCTCGACGGCGACGCCCATCACACCTTGCTGCCTTGCACAGAAGGCACATGCTGCAGCGTCAGCTGGATGAATATTGATTGTCGCAGTGCTGTGCTGAGGGCTTGACATGCCTCCTCCACCTTGCACCTGGATACAATATGGAACAAGCATCCAACAAATGTCAGCACCAGCCAAACTTCCCAGCATGCACTCGCACCTTGCTAACCTCAACGAGGACTTCATACTCCAGCTCACCTTCTGCTGGCGCAACTGCAGAAGACCCCTTGAGCTGGTCCACCTTCCGAACCCACTGCCCAGGTTGAACAGTGCTCAGTGAAAGAGATGTTTTGCCCAGAGTATCATCCACAAACATGTTGGAGTTGAATACTTCCATCTCCAACAGGTTTGGCGCATCACTGAGGGCGAACGTAAAGTCTCGGCCCTCTGTCCATACTGGATCGAGGTTATCGGCGATCACGGGTGTTTGGCGCTGCTCACTTCCAAGGCGGAGCACAACATATGGATCGGATTTGTTTCCAAAGAAGCTTCCAATGTCCATGTTACGCAAACCTCGTGCGGAAAGCACACGAACATGTAGCTGAGGCTGGGTGCTACTAGGAGAAGCTGGAGACCCGACTGACATTCCAGCAGCTGCTGCAGCTGCTTGCACACCCTCCGAACTTGGCTGTGCCCTGATGTCGGGAGCACTTTTGAGAGGCCCAGCACGACCTGGCGAAGTTTTCCCCAGCAGGCCAATCATGTCAGAGTTCTGACCTGGACCACCTGGACTTCCGCTCGGCGAAGCCATGCCCATGTGATGCGTTTGTGGCCTCGGAAGCTGTGGTGGCACTGAGCTCAGGACCGAGGGCCTGGTCAGCGGGGTAAACGGCCCTGGCGGCCCTGGCGGATACTCTGGTGGAGATCCGGAGGGTTCGGAAGACGGAATGCAAAGCACCGTCTTGTCCGCGCCTCCGAAAAATGAAAGCCAGCTTCCTCCAGCGGGCTTAGCTTGCAAAGCCCACCCCCTGCCATCTTGAAGTTTGAGGAATGTGATGCCAGCTTGATCGGTGGCTGTATCCACCACGTTGAAGAGCTCACCCGGATGCAGAACATGGTGCGACTTTGGCCCGTCAAGACTGGGAGCAACAAGAATCTGCATGGGTGCACCATCCTGCGGAAGGTATCGCCATTGTACTGACTGCACGGTGTGCATTGGAGCCATCGGGGCATGCTTCTTCAAAGCATGCAGGGATTGCTCCTCATGAGCTAGGCGCATGTGAAGCTGATCAAGCTCCCTCTGCGAGGGCATGACCACATGAGCCGCGGACGGATCGACATGCCACAAACGATGGCCAACATCCATGGCTCAAACATAAGTGGCACAACATGCTGTCTTCAGCCGTACACTGCGTACGCAAGCAGCGGTGCCTGAGATGATATCATGCTGCTTGCAAGTCGTGTGTCGACATGTCATGGTCTTGCATTACTTGCAGAACAAGTCCTTTCTTTTGCCGGCTTCGGTGCACCTCTTGCAACAGCCATTGCACGACGGCTGCACCGGCCGGCATCCGACACGGAGGATGCGGACTTTGGTGGCCGGCAGGGCTTGCTCGAATCGGATCCGCAGCTCGTAAAGCTTGTAGCACATCTTGCTCTCGTCAGTTGAGGACTGACCACTTGATGTTCACTGCTCGGGCGCCTCCGGTCCGAATTTTCTGAGAAAGTACGATGCTTGCACTGCTTGGCTCCAAAGTTCCTGCCTTCGAACTCTTTCACGAACTCAAATGAAGTGCTTCTTCTCGTAGTATCTCATCCTGCCAGTCACGCAGCGGCGCAAAGTGGCAAAGATGGCACTGGACTCCGCATCCCCTCAAGTCTCCTGTTCCACATCAATACTCCAATCGTGACTGTGGCAATCAGAAGGACAACCAACATCCAAGACCTCAGCTCAACTCTGTGTGTTCCTGTGTGTGTGTATGTGTGTGGGTGTGTTGATCGTGTCTGTGTGTTTTTGTGTTGCTACGCTGTAGGTCTGGTCTCAAGATCTCGACTGTGTGGCGATTAATGTCCGGCCGCGCTGGGTCCAGTGGTTGGCTCATGATTCGGGAGCTTGTGGGCATGTGGCAGCTGTTGGCAGCAAGCATGTGGGCGGGAAAGCAATTAAAACGACATGCAGCATCATGCAGCTACAAAGGCGGCGCGCGTCATTGGCGACTCTCAGTGCAACAGGCTTGGTTGATCAAGCCTGGCTCCAGTTAGGTTTGGGGACCTGCAGGTGTTGTAGCAGAGAGCGCTTTGCCATGCGGTGCCATGCTGCACCTTGCTGCCACTGCAAGGGGCGAATAGGGGATGAGCATGGACGAGTGATGAGCTGGTGTTTTGTGTTTTGTGCGACTTCGCGAGCGGGGACCTGTGAACGAGGGACTGCTATGAACTCATCATGAACACAAAGCAACAACTTGACCGCCGAAAGGAAATCGGCCGATTCGCGGGAGATGCTTGGATGCGCCGATGCCGGCAACATCTCAAACGATGATTGATCCGTGGAATCTCTAAACAATTTAACCCGCCGGGAGGGTAGCTACAACAAATCCCTCAATGACTCAACCACAGTAAATGAACAGTGTACCATAAACTCATACCTCAATCCATACTGTAAGCTTGAGACATCTGTGAACTTCGAGACACAACCTCGGTGCTCGGACATGAAATGACAGGAATATACGCCATGCTGACAAGGCTCCCGTACTCAGATTTGGGTAGCACACGCTCTGCTCAAGCACGGTTGTTTGGTCCACTATCCTTCCCAATATGGATGAGCCAGCAGCCTGGAGGAAAAAGAATCTGTATGTGAAGCTCTGTGTATGATGGGTTGCTCACTGAAGATCAAAGAAAAGCAAACATGCCTTGTCGGTTTGCTGCTTCACTTCATTCAGGTTCTTCTGCACAGCCTCAGTAAGTATCACATCAGGTTTCACCGCTTCACCACTGCATGGCAAACGAAGAGACAAGCCACAACATACATCAATTACTACGTCAGAAAAATGCCCATCGACATGAAGCCGAATGCCACCCGGGTGGCCTCCAACTTGTGCATGTGAGCTGCTCCCTCCTGTGCGAGTGCTAGCCCTCCCGTGAGCACAACAAAAGACTTAAAGTTAGCTCACGGGATGTATGCTGCAATACTACTAGCCTGATAATCGAGGGAGATGTCGTAAGTTCTCTTTATGAGATTGGTTTAAAAGGAGTGAAAGGACGCATGAAAACCAAGCGAAGAAAGGGGCCACTAAGAAAGCGAATTGAGGCCCTCATATATAGCTCTTTTTAGTGGGCCTATTTTTATTATTACTATTTTGGTTCTTCGCATTATGAGCAATATTACCATTAGTAGCAGTATTAGCATTCTTAGCATTCTTAGCAGTCTTAGCATTCTTAGCATTAATAGCATTATTAGCATTACCATCATTATTGTCATTATTATTGTTACTATTATTAGTGGGGGTCTTCTTCGTCGATATATTATTATACACGCGCTAGTTTGTGATAATGTTCTACCACCGGGAAAAGACGAGCGTTCAGATGCTAACAGGGTCTCAAGGTGTGACAGGGAGTTTCCGGAAGGTTTGACCGGCGGTCCCGAGGGTGGGTTCCCATCTTCTGTTCATCAATGGTCAATCAAGGTGGAAGGGTACCTCGCGCAAGAAACTCCAGCTGTCCACTAACAGCACTCCTTGTCTAGCAGCCTGCGGAGACCCAAGATGTGGACCTGGACGCATGCAGCCGTCATTCTGCACGGCATGAGGGCAACTGTGATGTGCCACCCAGTGATAGTCGTGGGAAGCCACTACAACGCGCCTTCATCTCTTGCAAGTTAGTCGCTTTCTTCGGAGCCCTTGGGACGCATGTGGTTTGCAAGCATGCTAAGTGCACTTCTCACTACGCGTTTTAAATACTATCCTCAGGCATCATTGCCAAGGCTGCACAACCTGTTGGAATTAACCGACACATTACGTAGCATCATTCTATGGTGCGCTCGATTTGTACAAGCGATCGTCACGAAGTTATGCTGCTTGTCAAGGCGAGTCTGTGTTCAAAAAATGATCAAGCATGTCAGGCCTGAGTAGAACAAATATGCCTAGAAGTTCAACCCTCTGGGTCCTGCCCATGAAGCTTTTTAGTACAGATAAAAAGATCGGAAACAGTGGACATTCAACAATAACTTTCAACCTTCTTGGTCCCCAACGCCAACTGAACTAAATAAGGTCTGTTTTCAGGATTCGGAGTTGAGCTTGGCCAAAGAGTGGGCGAGTCATCCGTGATTTGCCTCCCTAGCAACATGTTGCCATTCTTTTTTGTGCGCAACCTACACTTTCTACACGCTTCTAACATTCAAGCCGACGAGCACCAAGGCCTGTCCAAAATGATGGCTTGGCTCCCTGCTTCGCGTTCTTCGGATCCGTCAGGACCTTCATCTCTTTGGTCAGAAGCCGGCAGTCGTGATCCAGCCTGGGGAGAACCACATCTTGCAGTAACGTCCATCACTGAAAAAGCTCTCCGATAAGACTGGTGCTTGTTGAGGGACTGCATGAGGTTCGAGACTTGAAAGGACATGACATCATATGCCGGCCTGATGCGCTAGCACGCTTTCGAACTCACATGCTGTTGCACGGTTCACTCGTCGACTTGGGCCAGCGCTTCGTCTCGTTCAAATGTGCCGACAACCTTTGCATGGCAACCCCCTTGCTGTGAACACTTGCAAGCGTGTTTTCTACCCCAGCCAAGAGTCTGGCATTGTTGTTATTCTTCCTATGTGCTCCGTCTGAGCTTGCTGATCCTGGAAGTATCTGGAATCCTCCGACATCAGGGCTTCGTACCTGTGATTCAACAAGGAAAGCATTGCAGCTGCAAAAAAGCAAACATTCCCCACTGGCGAGTGCACAACGTGGAGCACGCAAGTTTGTCTTTGGCGCTCGTCCCCACGATGTCTTCACCAACTGCCTAGCAGTGGGTTGGCTCCAGGTCTCAGGTCGATGCAAGACGGCTTGCGATCTGCATCGATGTTCGCTGCTAGTAACTAGTACACGTGGCATGGCCCCTGGCATGGCCTGGTCATCGAAATTCACCACTTGGACCTGCTCTGTAAACAAGGGCAAGCTGTTTCGTTCAAGGTTCAATACCATTGCAGCGGCATCAGGCCTTCGTTAAGGACACACCATCTGGAAGCTTGGATGGTTGCACAGAACCTTCCAACATCAAGCTCAGGAGAACACCAAAACACGAAGACATGGATGAAGATTTGTCAAAGATTCCATCAAGGCACCACTCCAAGCAGTGAAGCCTATGTAGCCACCTGCCTGAGCTGTTGAGTCTTAAGCGCATAATTCTGTGTTTTCGCACACGCCACACATCGCCTCGGGTCAGCTTGCTAACTTACTTCATTCGTGACCTCACCTCGCCTCGCTAAGGTCGCTGGATAAAATAACTGCATGTACCAGATTGGTTACAACACCAGAACTTCCAAGTTGCCGCTAAAGGATTCTAGGAGACAGTGCTGACAGGGCGGGCACGTATGCAAATTGCGTGCGAATCAGCGGCCAGATTGGGCAATGCTTCTTCTGGGATTCGAGCTGTGCTGAGTAAAGCTTCCAAGTGGCGTCTGTCGTTTCCGAATGAACTGGCAAATTGTCTCATGCATTGCCAATTCATTCAGCATCCAAAGTCAAAAGATCTAGCTTGCAAAGCCCATTTTGCCAAACTCGGTCGCAAACTCGTGGGCTCGTTTGAAGTGAACCTTGTTGGTCAAAGCTCGTTTCCTTGTAGTCGTTGTTGCGGTAGGATGAAAGGTCCCAGGAACAGAATTTTCGCGAAGTCGCGGCCAATTCGCGCGAATTGCATGGTCCGGTTCTCCTCACTTCTCCCCATCATATCACCTTGGAATGGCCCACCTGGGTTCCTCTTCCATTCCTCTACCCCAGGATATTGGTCGAGGGTTTAAGGCTGTGGCCAAACGCACGAGTACAGGTCGGGGAGCAGCCGGATGACTGCCCTTGAGGTTGAAGCGGTTGAAAGCCAAAGGTCTGGGAACGGGGCCTGTCATTCACACCCAACCCTCACATCACGACCTTTCGCCCAAATCGAAGTGAGCTCGCTTAAACTTGAGCTTAATTCGGTTCACCTCGGTAACTCGGATATTTCAAGGTGAGCTCCGGCGAGCTCGCTATCATTTAGCCATGGCATTCCTACGGATCAAAGCTGTGCTGCAAAAATCTGCTGCCATGCAGACGCTCACTGCCGCAGCAAGTATCGACAGCGTGTCATAAATTCTGCCGCATGCTCAAACCTGCGAGCAAGACCCTCTGAGGCTGCGACCTTCACAGGAAAATTGCGCCGATCCACATCGAAGCAATCTTCGACGTTGCCATCAACAATTATCTGGCCCTGGAGGCAGTATAGAGCACAAACTGCAAACATGACATGCCAAAACAACCAAGTCAACGCCGCCTTGACTGAGAAAGGCTGCACCCGAATCTTGAACTCCACATCCTTGTTCCGGAAATCAACTACCTGAGCATGATCATGCATGATCACGTGTTCTGACCCTTAGCTGGATGCAACTGCCTTGGCATTGCTGGTGGGAACGTCAATGCCATAGCCCAGACTTTGATGGTTGTCGTTGCCTAAGACATGCAAAATCGAAGGCGAGCACCCCATGAATCACGAGAAGCTGCCTGAGACGGCAACTGATGAAAGACACAACGGAGCCTGGCTTTTTGGCAAGATTTGCCGTCGAAAACACCTGCGCAGCGTGCTCAAGGACGTTTTCAACCCTTGTCGCCGTGAAGAGAACAACTGAGGGCCGGGCAGCTCCGATTCCCTCAAACAGTGCCTCCGAGCTTCATCAAGTTTACATTGACAAATTGAAAATGCATTTGTCATGCCTTTAAGCGATGTGTGTTGATGAATGCTCATGCATCTTCCAATTCGCTTGGAACTTCCGATCCTTGGAGCCACTCAACGAGTATCCTTGCTCCTTCAGACCATCCGACCACGAGGATGCCTTGCAAGGTAGCCCAAATGCATGTACAACTGCTCCCTCCTGTCTGCGATGGACGTTGTGAAGCCGTGGTTTTGGAAAAGGCTTGGTAAGCTCTGCACGCGGATGGCAGCAGACTCGTTGAAATCGCCAGAAATATTTTGCCGGACAAACCAAAAAGCGAAGCTTTGGTCATCCACAACCTGCAGATCGAGGACAAAATCTTACACTGCTGCTGGCCAGCTATACCATTGCCCGACCAAGGCCTTGGAAGCATCCGCGGCGCCAAATGCACGAAAGGCAAAGCTGGCCTGTCCAAACAAGACCCATATGACCAGTCTTGTGACATGCCACCTTCGGCACCACTAATCCCATCAAAAGCTTGAGCTTTGGACTTCGAAGTTGTTGGTTTGGAGCGGCTGCTTGTTCCAGGCAAACCCCTGACCTGGGAAGCAGTTAAATCCTGACCGGGACTATTCGCACACTGTATCCAAGGCCACAACGTTCAGACACGCCCGGATGCAACAACAAACGTTCCCTAGCAGTGACAGGTCGAACTTGGATGCAAACTTGAATGCCAACAGCGAGCCTACCGTTCAAGCACAAGTCATTCGCATGCAACACCATTCGGTGTGCCTTTCAAAGATGCTTGCTCCACTGAGCGTCCAATCTGCCAACAAGCTCGAATATTCCAACCTGCTCATATGCACAGAAAACCGATGTCGTTCCAGCTCGACCCAAGGCATCCAAAACTTAAGTTCGCGGCGGCACGGCGAAAGAGTGGTGCTGCAAAAAGGCCTGCTGGTCGATGCACAAATGCGCTGACATGCAAAAACATTTCAGAAAACAAAGCTTGATGACGGCCTTGTATTCCGAATGTCCATGGTTTGGGTTGCCTTCAAGTGGCTGTATCAAGCCTTGTACCCATAGCCACCCAACCTCAGAGCGATGCTGCAAACAGTCTGAAGGAGCAAATGTGCAATGGTCAACGTTCGGTTGTCCTCTGAGCCAGCTTCCAACACATGTTTCCCCCGCATCATCGCGCTGGCGAATCTTATTGGCTTTTAACTTTCCAGTCATTCGCGTACGAAACATACGTAACATCACCGATAACCCTAAACTCCTTGTGAAATGTCACTTGCAACGAAACAATGCGGAAGTTAACAGTCAGGCACGTGATCATCATGCAATCTCATACCATGAAAGCGCAGCTTGAAGCAAACAGCTATCAAACGGCCGGCATCGCGGGTAGCCTGTCCAAATTGAAAACAGCTTGCCCAATGCACAGTAGCCCAGAAACTATTTCGAATTGCCAAGAGACAGCTGTTCGCCCCATGTACAACAGCCCCAAAGAATCCTGAAAATTTACCAGCGAAGACCCCAAACACAATTTGTCGGAAATCACCCACATGCCAGAAGCCATAAAAGTTTGGGATACAAGAGGCACGTTGGCTGTCGCACGCGAAAATGAAAAATCCACCGTGCTTGCCCAGAACCGAGCATGGAGAAACACAATATTCTTTCCGCGAGCGAGATGACATGGAGAGTTTGACTGCAAAACAAACGCACGTGTTGAGATCTGTGCGCAAGAAACACATACAGGATGGAGAAATATAAAAGACATTGGGGTCTGTCGCACAGGAAATTTACAGCGCCGCCCGATCCTAGCAGGGAGAAACAAGCTTCTTCCGCAGGTCGGACTTGCAAGACAAGATATCCACATGCCGAAACTTGGGCGCCAGCACGAAACATTTGCCTGCTCACGAGTAAAATGTAGAATTGCCGCGCCTGCCCCGAATCTAGCACGGAAACAAACATGCTCTCTCGGCATCGACATGACATTGAGAATTTGCTCGCGGGACAAGAAACCCACAAGCCAAGATTTGTGGGCCAGAAGCCATGCAAGCTTTGGACACAAGTTGCAATGACGAGAGAGACGTGTTGGCCGCTGCCGAAACCAGCACGGAGAACAACATGTGCAAGCGTTTGCAAGACAAAATATCCAGATGCCGAGACTTGTGCGCCAGCGGCCTGTACAAGCTTCGACACAAGAGACGCGCTGGCAGTCGGATTAAAGGTGATATCCACGTGCATTCGTGTCGTCTCTTTGTTGTATATTTCATTAATGATATTGATATGAAGAGAAAATTCATGATTCATGGATATATCAATTTCTATATGATAAGATCATGAATGAATTACACGAATGGAATGAGTAAGAGATAATAAGAGGCTGTTCTATGATATGAAAATAAAAACTTGACGGCTTGTGTTAAACATGACAGCACAAAAGCAGAATCGGCACACGCGTCTCGCATCTCTGGTTTTGAGCAGACGGTGTTGGAAAAATCACAGCAGTGACACAGCTCAGAGCAGACAGCATGCAACTGACTTGGAGGCCTCCTGAGGGGACTCTTTCGAGGCGAAAATGCAAAACGCATATGGTCTGGCCCCTCTTGACTGCAAAGTAATTCCATTTTGCAACACTTCCAGACAAGGTTCTGCCAAGCAAGCTGTTCCGTGATGTCATGCACACGTTACGCAAAAAGTCTGCTTAAGGCAGTTTCTACTGGGTTCACTACCTGCACTAGTCCGTTACGAATGTTCAGTTGCACCATCCCTTTCTTTTACACGCCGGCAGAAAAATCCCTGGCGGTGCTTTAGCAAAGCAGCCTGTGGCAGAAGCACCCGGGCAAGAAAGGTAAACAGAATGCTGGTCCAAGGCACCAGCAGAGTGTGAGAACGGAGAGAGAGCACTTCTAATCAGACTCTACTGCTGGTTTAGAACCTACAGATCAAAATCAAGATGCGGAAGCCTTTGCATCACTCCAAGACGGAAGACCACTTTGAGAATGATGCAAGGAGCAGCAGTAAATCTTGTACGGCAGGAAAGACAGAGGAAGGTCGAGAGGAAGGTGGCAAAAGTTAAAACTAAATTTCGAGGACTGGATGCACAAATCCACCTGTCAAGCTTGCAGCAAGCGATATTAGTTGGCAAGTTGGGGGTGGTGCTTTCCAAGGGCCGTCCACGTCTTGTGGTTGACAGCTCCATTTCTGGTGTTCTCGAAGCCACACACTTGCCCAACCACTGTGGAGGCCACTTTCATGCGGTTGTCTTTTCGCTTGTGTTTAGCAGCCCTAAATGTTGTTTCTTGTTTACAGGAGATTTCGGAGATTTGCGTTGTTTTGCGTTTGTTTGCTATTTTTGCAATGTACTTTTGCTGTTATTTGCACGTAGACCTGTTTTGCTGGATTTTGTGCCGGATTGATTTTTCAAGATGCGTTGAGATCTGCAAGACTCTTAGAGACTTTTGCTAATTTTTGCGCCTACGGGCCATGTGTCTTCAACAGATTGCATCTGAGCCGCTGCTCGCTGAGCGCTCTCTTGCCTCAAGCAGCTTCTAGGCCACAGCTAGCGTACTTGCGCCATGTCTGCCACGTCGGAGCCTGATTTGTTGGCCGAAAAAAGTGCCCAGACATAGTCCGTAGGGTCCATGTTTGTGCTTCCAAGGTGTCGCAAGCCTTCGCAACTCGCTCAGCGAAGTACTCAGTGGAGGAGGTTGCCGAGGTCTTCAAGGCCGATTTTTGGCGATGCGAGAGGCTTCACATTCGTTGCGGGGCGCAGGCGCGGCCGGCCGGTGCGCGGCCGGAGGTGTCCAAGCTCATCCGTGCGCTGCTTGGTGGCCTAGCTGCAGTGTATGGTTGTAGCAACAGCCATGCGCGGGGTCAAAGCTTTGGGTGCAAGAAACCAGTCATGCCTTCAGTCAGGTCCTTGGGTTGAGTCTGACATGAACCCTGAGGCAGGAAGTCAGTCTTGTTCTATAGCAAGTTGTGACGTGGACGGTGAAGCCAGGCAGACGTAGACTGTATTCCTTTTTCTGAACCCGATTGGTGAAAGACCAATGTGTACCTTGACGTTCTGCCTGAAGGCGCGAAGTGCTTCTTAGACGGTCAGCGACCATTGATTCGTATGGCAGGCATGCCCCAGCTTCGGCGCTCCGGTTGACAGAGGTCCTCGCCAGAAGCAGAAGAACATCTCTTGCGTCCTTCACCCTTTAGGGGACGACCGGTAGTATAATACTGACATTGGCGTGCGGTGATTGGGTGGCGGGTTTCCTGCACCTGTCCTTTAATAACTTTGTAAATTGCCAAAGGGTGAATCCAGTCCTGATAAAGGGGTTTCCGCAGGGTTTCCGTTCATGTTTGTTAAGCTTCTGGAGGGTTTCCCTGGGTTTCCCTACAGTTTCGCGAGGGTTTCCGCGGGGTTTCTGGGGGTTTCCGTGGGTTTCCTTAGATTTCGTGCATGTGTTAAAACCTATTGGATGGTTTTGGTAGGTTCCTCAAGGGTTTCGTGAGGGTTTCCGTGGGATTTCGTGCAGTTTTTGAACTTTCCGGAGGTTTTCCTTGAATTTCTCTAAAGTTTTGTGAGGGTTTCCGCGGATGTCCGTGGGTTTTGTCAAGTTTTGCCTTGGTTTTTTAAAAGCTTTCAGATGGTTTCCCTGGGGTTTTCTAAGGTTTGCGGGGTTTCAGTGGGTTTTGTTAGATTTTGCGTAGGTTTTTGAAGCTCTCGGAAGGTTTTTCTAATGTCTTGTGAAGGTTACCGTGGGTTTTCCATGGTTTTTGACAGCTTTGAAGGGGTTTCCGTGGGTTTCTTAGGGCTGTGTGAGGGTTTCCGCGGGGTTTCTGTGGGTTTTCTTATATAGGTCGTGCGCAGGTCTTTAAAGCTTCCAGTGGAGCTTTGTGAGGGTTCCTGCAAAATCTCCGCGGGGTTTCGATTGGTTTTCTCATGCTTTGCGGCTTTGGAAAAAGATGTCAGAAGCTTCAGCGAGGGTTTCCATGAGCTTCCATGGCACCATGGATTTCCTCAGCGTTACTTCAAGCTTTGGAATTTGTCACATGATGCGGTCGGCGCTCGTCCAGATAGGCAAGATGCAAGCGGCGCAGTGTGTCGTGCGGCTTTGCAGCGCTGCCAGGTGAGGTTGTGGAGGTGGATGCTGATGGCACAGGGAGAATCAGAAGTGACCGCTGGGGCTAACCCAGCTGTATTTTTCCGCAGGAGTAGGTCCGAGTAGGTTTTCCATATGTGCTCCGGGTCTTTGCGCAGGAAATTGTTCCGAGGCCAGATTCTGGGTCCGCTTTTGTGTGCAAAAGTCACGTCCGCTTGTGCGTGGCCTCCCCGGTGCCCGTTTCTATTATGTTGATCACTTCCGCAAGAAAGCTGCCTGTGGAGGGTCGTTGTTCTTTAAAAAAAAAATTCTCCACGCTAGGAGCTTGCCTGTGGGTCAGAGTTGCTGTAGCGTCGCAATCTGGGGAGCGCAGGGGCTCGAAAAATGCAGATTTAGCGACACCAAAATTGGGGCCGCCAGGCGGCCCCAATTTTGGGGTCGCAGTTCCAGCCTTTTCATGTATTTACACATTATAATAAGGGAAGCTGGGTGCATTTCGTGGCCCCATTTTTGGGGCCGCGAGACGGCCCCATTTTTGGGGTCGCAAGTTTGAGCCCTGGGCTCACGCAGCTGGGTCTCGTCAGCGTGCCTGCGCCTGCCCTTGTTCCAGGAACCTTGGGGAGCAGCGTGCAGAACATAAGCTTGGGGATCAGGGGCTTGTCCGAAGCAGCTGCTTGCTTTTGTAATGCTGCAGCAGAAAGGGAGCTGCAACTGTGCCCGTTTCTATTATGTTGATCACTTCCGCAAGAAAGCTGCCTGTGGAGGGTCGTTGTTCTTTAAAAAAAAAATTCTCCACGCTAGGAGCTTGCCTGTGGGTCAGAGTTGCTGTAGCGTCGCAATCTGGGGAGCGCAGGGGCTCGAAAAATGCAGATTTAGCGACACCAAAATTGGGGCCGCCAGGCGGCCCCAATTTTGGGGTCGCAGTTCCAGCCTTTTCATGTATTTACACATTATAATAAGGGAAGCTGGGTGCATTTCGTGGCCCCTTTTTTGGGGCCGCGAGACGGCCCCATTTTTGGGGTCGCAAGTTTGAGCCCTGGGCTCACGCAGCTGGGTCTCGTCAGCGTGCCTGCGCCTGCCCTTGTTCCAGGAAC